ATACATGTTATACATGTATTTTTTGGTTGTGGTTAAAAATAGATTACATTGATTTTCCTTAAAAAGTCCTTAACAAATTACAAGTTCAATCTTTACACAGATTGTATTTTGTTATTCGTCCAACTGAGTGTGGATTTGTAATATTCATCTAGGAAGCTTCTACTTCCTAGCTTTACTAATAAGCAGCCTAAACGCACCGACCAATTAAAGGGCCGGTATCTCAAGCGAGTCACCTCCGGGTTGGTTTTAACTCCAGGGTAAGCGTGTTCAGTTGCAATGCTTATCCTGGAGTTATGCTTAAACCGGGAGTGAGTTGCTATTGAGAAACCGGCCCATAAAACAAAACTTACGTGAAATAGTATTCTCTACAAAATTGTTTATATATATTTTTTTCGTACCACCAACCGTTTTCGCGATATAGCGTGATAAAGCGGGAGCGCGCATTAAAAATAAGTCATACTGTATAATACTCCGGAGCTCTCAGTATAAATGCATTTTTCCTAATCTGTTAGCCTGGAAAATAAAACTTTCATTAATCAAATTATTAGAAATTTATTTATTTATAATAAAACTGTTATTATATATTTATGTATCAAGGGAATTATGAAACCCCAAACCAATATTTCAATTATTTCTCAAAGTTCCACCTATCCAAGGTAAAAGCGGAAGTTAAGACCCTGTTTATGATTATAGGACATAGAATATATAATAAATAATTAATAACATAACATGCATAACAAAAAATAAATTTTTTTCCGCACCACTTTTGAAGTAAAATGCACGGTGGGTTATTTTTTTGACATGGTATCCCCAGTAGGCCTAATCCATGTTTTCAGGCATGCCTGAACACGTCAACAGAATTGATAAACATCGAAGACTTCAGTGACCTTGAGCCTAGAGGGGTTTTGCCAACAGACATAAAGTCAACAGAGAGGAAGCGTCTGACAAAGATAATTTGTTGATCGAGGTGCTATTGGAATCCGACGCCGACGAAGACAAGGAGGAAGGCATGTACAAAAAATGATAATGATAAAAAAGTTTTCCTAAGATCGAAAACATCGATTATTCCTACCAAGGATATTATGTCAAAAAAACCGCCTTGCATTCTACTTCAAAAGTGGTGCGGAAAAGAATGTATTTTTTGTTATGCATGTTATGTTATCAATTATTTAGTATATATTTTATTATAAATAAACAAATGGGCGACTTTCACATTTTTCAAAAACATTTTAAAATTATTCTTTTAGTCATTCTAATACTATCTGTATACTTTTTTTCCGAAAAAAAACGCCTATTTTCAAAAACTGGTTTGTGACGTCACAAACCAGAAAATCAACAAAAATGCGAGGATACCAAATTTCTCATTGGTAAATCATTACACATTTCTCTAGCTCGAAACTATTTCCGTCCTTTACTACATTATAAAAAAATAAAGGATAGGTATAATCGTTATAAACTCATTAGGCTAGTAAATTTGGGACAAGCTGAAATTTTCAGGATACCTTCTTTAGGTGGTCGACAATGTTCCCTTGAAAATCGCACTAAATCGCATGAGCCGTACTCGCCCAATCGGGCTTTAAACTCAAAAAATTGTGTTTTTTTTAATTTCTTTAGAAATATCTCAAAAACTATAAGCTTTTTTGGAAATCTACAAGAGAACAAAATTGTTTCCAATAAAAATACCTACAAAATCATTTTTTGTTTTTGAAAATCGGCCCAAAAACAAAGAACTTATGGGCCTTTAAATAATGGGCCAATACGGCTTGAGCTCCAATGATATCTAAACATTGAACGATTTTTGTTGAATAAGTGAAAATATAATAGATTTATTGGAAATGTAATAATGTAAATAATTAACCTTTGATAAATGTAAAAGATTTGCTAGATTTGTAATAAACTGGCAACACTGTTGATGATCGCTACTGTAGCGCTACGTCCTGATGAACCCGAATGACACAAATTAAAATCGAAGTTAGATCCTGCAATAGTTAAAAACATATTATTTGTTCATGCAATGTCGGGTTGCAATACCACATCGGCATTCTTTAAGAAGAACAAAAAAAGTGCTTTAATTGTTTTGTCTAAAAATGAAAAACTTCCCGATGATTAACTTCAATTTAAAAGGGTTTTCAGTGATATTGCCACTTCATTAAAATCGGGAGAAAATTTTATTCTAAAATGGTACGGCAACAGGAGAAGCCAAAATTTTAGGTATGTAAAATGTAATTGCACCCCAAAAACTTTGCAGTAACTTTGAGCTAGCTTCTTTACCCCTGCAACTGAAGCTGCTCAATTACATCTTAAAAGGGTTTACCTTCAGGTACAGTCATGGTTGGGAAATAATTTAGACCCAAGAGAGTGGGGTTGGGTGGAAAAGGACGGTTACTTAAGCCCGTATGACATCTGTGTATTTTTCTGTGAATTTATTCATGTAGTTCAGGCTGACAACCGAAAAACTTCAAACGCAACATAAATCAGCATTATGAAAGACAAAATAATGTTGGCACCCTGAACTACATAAAGAAATACACGGATAATTACACAGATGTAATACGGGCTTTAGACCCACAAAGAAACAGTAAGGAATTCGCTCCTGATTTTATTATAAATTTTTTTTTTTTTTTATTTTTTTTTTTTTTTTTATTTATTATTAACAACAAACAATACAATATCACACATATGGTACAGCTTTCTAAGCTACGCAGTGGCTTATTTTGCGGATGCAAGTCAGTTTGCTCCAAAACTTGTACCTGCAAAAAGGTAGGAATGAATTGTTCATCAAGCTGTACAATTTCCATCGGACAGTATTGTGACAATGGAACGAATGTGTCTTTTGTTTAAAATGATGATGGCATAGAATAATTTCTTTTTCTTTTATTAAATTTTGTGTTAATGAAGTGAGTAGGTGCCTATACTTGTATATGACCGTATGACAAGGTCACAACTTTTGTACCAAATTCCATAAAAAATACAACTGGTCTAACTCTTCAAAAAGTGCCATTTTGGTACCAAATTTGATACTGTGCCATACGGACTTTAGTTTTAATAGTATGTTTCGGTTTGCATAATATTATTTGAGATTATTATTAAACGAGTAAGTAGCAGCACATTTTGGCAAGAGTATTATTTACCTACTTATTTTTGCGATCAACCCGTTACCTAAAATATTAAATCATACCTAGTGATTTGTATACAATTTCACACACTGTTTTTATATGACAACTACCATATTTCTTTTATGAAAAACATTCAATTAATTTACGTCAGCCGAGGCGTCAGCGTTAATAAAGTCGAATTTGCCAAAAGCAGTTTAATAGAATCGAAGCCCAATACGCCCATATTCTATAAGCCCATAACTTTTTTGTTTTTAGACCGATTTTCAAAAACAAAAAACGATTTTGTAGGTATTTTTATTGGCAACAATTTTGATCTCCTGTAGATTTTCAAAAAAGTTTATAGTTTTTGAGATATTTCCAAAGAAATAAAAAAAAACACAATTTTTTGAGTTTAAAGCCCGATTGGGCGAGTACGGCCTATGCGATTTAGTGCGAGTTTTAGGGAAACATTGTCGACCACCTAAAGAAGGTTTCCTGAAAATTTCAGCTTGTCCCAAATTTCTTCCGGGTTGGACCCCTAGTTTTATTGGCCTACATTTAAATTTCGCATTTCTAAATGTGGCAACAAGCACGTCAAAATCGGCTTTAGCCAATCAGAGGGCGTTTTCAATCACGTGACTTTTTTTAAATTTTTAATTTTTATTTATTAATTTATTTAATAATCTGACTAAAATCTTGCAAAATATTGTTCATTCTCGGCTGCATTGATGTATCTGCGTCAAAAAATATCATAATTTGCCATAATCCCGGCACGTGAAAGTGGCCCATTTCTATCAATTTTATTATTGAAAGTTTAATTTTTCAGATTAACAGATTAGGAAAAAGGCTAAAATAGTTATAGCTCCGCAGTATAATACAGTATTACCTATTTTAAATGCACGCTCTCGCTTTATGACGTTATATCTCAAGAACGGTTGGTCGTTCGAAAACAATGTATATAAGCAATTTTGTAGAGAATACTATTTTACTAAGTTTTGTTTTGCGTTGTTGTACGTCAGATGCACTGGAAGCGAGATTTTCGCAAAAAAACAATTTTCATGACCTTTGACCTTCGATATCTCAAGACGCACAAGGGTAGGTATATGAGATTTTTTTGTGCTTCCTTAGAAAACCATAACGAAGGTCTCTGCGAAAATTCAGCTTGTTCAGCCTCATTCCGCAGAGGAGGTCTAATTTCCCTGGAGTATAGGTCTATCGTTTTTTTTATTTTATTGCGAGTAAATCTGAAAATCAAGTTTGCGACAAGACTCACTCGCAATCACTCACTCTATTTTACTACAATATCAGATAACGTTGTGACAGCCTATTCTTATCTCAAAGGGTGAGTACTTGGAATGCTAGAAGTTTGAATAATTTCTTTCTGGAGTGTCAAATCTCGTTTTTCTTTTGTACCTATTTATTTATTGGTACTTTATTACATAGATTAATTACAACAAAAAACACTTCAATTTAACAATATGATAGCCCTGGTATAAACATGATTCCTATCACGAAATCACATACGGTAGGCGTACTTTTTACATATCATCGAACCATTGTCAGTAGGATATTGTCACCTTTAGAGTCTTAAGTATAAGCTTTCTTTTTTCACCTTTTAAATATAGTGCAAGTTTTTTTTTACAATTTAGGCAATCATTAAAACAAGTTTTTCATATGATATATCTACGTAAATTGCATCAAATAAATATTTATTGTGCGTATTAAATAAATTAGTGCTGGCATAAATGGTTTATAATAAAAACCAGTATCTTGAAATAAACAAGCTCATGGAACTTCTTCTTTTTCTGGTGTTATGTACAGAGAAACAGTTTTAATAGCTTCTTGTACTTACTATAGCAGGTATAACTGATGGATTTAAGGCGATCGCCAACCGCTACTTTTATTAATCAATCGAGTAGATAGTGCTAAAATCATTCATAAGCTGATGTGGTGATAATGTGATTAAGAATGTACAACTTTTCTGCGGGTACCCTAAGTATTGTAATAATTTGGTTGGGTAAGTGATCATTTTTGTTTACTGCGTAGGTATCTATTTACCCTCATCTACAATATACCTACATTTTAATAGGTGGTAACAATTTTTTGAAAAGTTCCTTGAAATATTGGATATGAAGTTTTGACAACACCGTATTCTGGTGAACAGTGTGAACGGCGGGGATAAATTTTTCCAATTTCAAGTTCACCTTACTTTTTTCTACTACATACCTACTCACTAATTATGATCGAGCAGCATCGCGTGATGAAAGAAATATCCTATTGGATTAATTTAGTTTGTAGCGTAGAATTTGTACGACGTTTAAGCACAAATTGAAGAACTTGTTTGCATCAACTCTTGATTAGGCATGTGGCCATCAAAAATTGTTGTAGAAACTGAATTATTTATACACCAAGTAAATATCTAATATGGAGTGGAGCTTAGGACTTTTCATAAAAAGTATAAGGCGCAAAAAATGTTCAATTCTCTTCTTGATTTAGTAAAATGGAGTTTCACCCTGACATCAAAATGTCTCTGATAACTTTAGTTGGATAAAGAAACCTGTACAGGGTGAATGAAGTCAAAGTGTCTATCCTAGACTCACGACCTCCAATTAAGAGTCAAGGAACGATTATAAATTGGGCCCTAAAAAACTTTATTTCGTTATTTCCGATTGGCCAATGTTCAAATTTAAAATCCTAATTCAGCCTCCCAATTTCATAGATGTGTTTCATAAAACTGAACACCTAATATACGAATCTCTGTTCTATGTGGAACTCCGCGAAAATGAATAGGTAATGTCACGAACGTCGAAATATTGCATTTTTGAAGCGCGCTTTACGATTAAAGTTTGGGCGTCATCCTTGGGAGTTCGGAAAATACTCAAAAGTCGGAGGAAAAGTTTCGTTGGATTTATTCGACAGCTTTTTTGAACTGGAAATTAAATTAGGGATTTTTACTAGGATTTTTCATAGAAAGTATAAGGCGCAAAAAATGTGGGAAAGAAATCCAATAAAATATATGCTAATTGGAATATTATACAGAGTGTCAAAAAATAGACCAAATTTTTTAACACCCCTGCATGTGATGAAAAATTTCGAATAATTTTTTTATAGTTTTCTCAGTAGAATCCAAATATGCAATCACATGCAGGGTGTTCCATTTAGAAATATGAAGAATAATTTACTGAACAACTTTCATTCAGATCACCTATTCGTATACAAGGTAATTAAAAAGTTATAGGTATTATGCGCAACTTTTTTGCCACTCTGTATACAGAGTGATCCATTTAACTTGAGACATTCTAATATCTCGAAAACGGTCCGTTTTTGAAAAAAAAATAAAAAATTCAAACAAAAGTTACATGGTATCATGGGGGAAACAAAATGGCGGCACTGATTCTTGAATTTGACAACGTTTGCAGGGTTATTTCACCGTATTTTGTTATTGCGGAATCTTATCCCAAAAAACAAGTAACTTTTACTTGAAGCATTTTTCGATCCGGTTTCAATTTAAGCTGATAAAAAAGAACGAATCAATTTTTTTAATTTTCCTCTTCACAAAATCTGAAAGTAGAGAAAGGTTAACATAGTTAAAAAATACCTCAAAAACTATAACAATTGTTCAAAGTGCGATGTCCGCCAACTTCAACATACTTATCAATTTGCTGTAAAACGCTTTCATGGCACCGTATTAGAATTTCTCTTCTGACAGCTCTACAAGCATTGCTTATGCGTTCCATCATATTTCCCGGTGTTGTGAGAACCTCTTGATAACTGTCTGTTTGATATTGCCCCATAAAAAGAAAACGAGAGGCGTTAAATCGGGTAACCTATCAGGCCACGCAACGAGACCGCCTCTTCCGATCCACCGATCAGGGAATTTATGATTTAACACTTCACGAGAAATTCTGGCATAATGAGCAGGGCAGCCATCATGTTGAAACCACATATTTGCCCTTTCTTTAAGTGTTAGATTTGCATGTAGAACTGGTGATCGTTTAAAAATCTCCGATATTTTGGTTCATCCAATGTTCCTTCAATAAAATACGGGCTAAACAACTTGTCTCCAATAATTCCGCACCATACATTCACCGACCAAGGGCGCTGATGCTCTACTTCTCTCCACCACCATGGATTTTCAACACTCCAATAATGCATATAATGGCGATTTACCTGCCCATGCGCTGATGCTCTACTTCTCTCCACCACCATGGATTTTCAACACTCCAATAATGCATATAATGGCGATTTACCTGCCCATGGTTTGTAAAACCAGATTCGTCCGAAAACAACACATTACAGAAAAAATATGTCTATCTAATTCGATTCTTTCTCGTGCCCACTGACAAAATGTCACCCTATTTGCAAAATCATCATCATGAAGTTCCTGATGTAGAGAAATATAATATGGGTAGAACTTGTGCCGCTCTGAAATCCTGAGAATACCAGAAATTCCAGAGTCGTGTGCAATTCGTCGAGAAGAAATACGTGGTTTTACAGCAACTGCCGCTAATACTGCGACTTCATTATTTTCTTCAGTGGCCGTGGCTCGACGTCTTCTTTTTTTCGCCTGTACACTCCCATTTTCTTTAAACTCTTTAACAAGTCGGTAAAAAGACGCGCGCGATATAGCATTTCTATCTGGAAAACTTTCAGCGTACAAGGCAACGGCATTAACAACACTTCTTTGACATTCACCATGTAGTAATATCATCTCAACTTTTTCTGCGACAGAAAGATATTCCATGTTTGTCAAAATCAAGAATATGTTTCACCATTTACTAGCAAAAATTTTTTTTCAATATAGCGTGGCGTCCATAAAACATTGTTTTGTTATTTGTTTTTACGTTAAGGGATAGTGCAGCTTGCGTATTTTGAGTTATTTTGCTTGGACGTCACGCCATCTTGAATCGATCTTGAATCATAGTATCAGTTTATTATTTATCTTCAAACGATCTTGAATTTAAACTTTATTGTCCTCAATACTCGACACAGAAGTGATCTATTATTTACCTAGGACCATAAAGATTTTTATGTACGGGGTAATTTGTTCGTCTTTTTCTCGTTAGAGGCAGCAGCGTCAGTTTATACCCCAGTTTGGTCTGTCAAACAGATACCAATCAATTTCGGATGGCAAAATGATGCTGTTACAACAACATTGGTAGGCGCTTTGGTCTGTCAAATGCTATACCGTGGTTGACTGCGATTTGTAACTGGGTAGTGGAGGTTTGGTAGCTTTCTATCTCTTTCTGTCCCATGTCTAAATAAACATGTCAAAGTCAAAATGTACCAAATGCCCTATCCACTGAATTCGGATGACATTGTTGAGTTACGTCACTCACGTACCAAGATGAAAATCTGGGGCGAAATCGCCTCAAGTTAAATTCAACAAACAATTCAATTTTCAAAAGTCATTATTGTCAAGAATGTCAAATACCCGAAACCACTTTTTTTAAAAGCGACAATTTTCTATGCTGAGTAAAACAGTCAGCCGCTGACGTAAATCTTGTTTCAGCCGCCGAGGTAAAGCTTTTACTCAGCGCTACATTCAGCTATGTTTCTTAAGCCGGCCACTCACTATGCGACACTTGCCGAATACTTGCAAAGTAGGTACTTGTCAAGACAAGTATCAAGTAGTGTGTATGAAGACTTGCATAGGCTCGGCGAATTACTTGCACTTCCCGTCGGCTGTCGGAAAACGGTTCCAAGGCGCTGAGTCGAGTGGCATCCAAAATGTATACATTACTTTGCGAGGCGCACGTAATGTATAAAACTTGAACTCATACTTGCCAAGTTTATTCCAAGTCGAGTCACTGGTCAAGTACCGATTATAGTGAGTGGCCGGATTCAGTAAGCAGTGAATGTACCCATTGATATTTACGAATTTGCGCCTCAGTAGACACTCCTCACACCAATTTGTTGCTGATTCAACTTTACCAGGTAAAATATATTTTTTTTTTTGTCGTCTCGTGTTTTTTTGTGGTGCTTTCAGAATGAATGTACCAGATCAAAAGAAGTGAAAACACATTTTTTTAATTAAAGTTGAGGGTGGTCTGAATAACTCTGAAAATTAAATGTTTTAACATTTTTGACGTATAATTTGGCATTTTTCGCATCTTACTTGCAGATCACACTTGAAGAAAAGGTTTCAACATGATGGCTGCTCTGCTCATTATGCCAGAATTTCTCGAGAAGTGTTAAATCATAAGTTCCCTGATCGGTGGATCGGAAGAGGCGAGGTGGTCAAGTTGCGTGACCTGCTAAGTCACCTGATTTAACGCCTCTCGTTTAAATTTCTTTTTATGGCGCAACATCAAACAGACAGTCTATAAAACGGTTCTCACATCACCGGAAATGATGAAATGCATAAGAAATGCCTGTCGAGCTGTCAGTAGAAAAACTCTAATCCGGTGTCTCATGAATCTTTTTTAAAGTGAATTGACAAGTGTGTTGAAGTTGGCGGTCATCATTTTGAACAATTGTTATAGTTTTTGAGGTATTTTTTCAAAATATGATAGCCTTTCTCTACTTTTCGATTTTGTGAGGAGAAAAAAAAAATGATTCGTTCTTTTTTATCAGCTTAAATTGAAACGGGATTGAAAAATGCTTCACGTACCAGTCACTTGTTTTTTTCCGTAGAATAAGATTCTGCAATAAAACAATACGTTTCCATTAAAAAGAGTTCACCTTGAAATAACCTTGAAAACGTTGTCAAAGTCAAAAATCAGTGCCGCCGTTTTGTTTCCCCCATGATGCCATGTAACTTTTGTTTGAACTTTTTTTTTCAAAAACGCAGCGTTTTCGAGATATTAGACTGTTTCAAGTTAAATGGACCACCCTTACATGGTTTTTCTTATAAATAAGTATCGATAAGCTAGTTCAGACCTAAGTATATATTTTCTAATTTGTAAGATATGTTTTAAATTTGATTTCCAAACTCCATTCACGGAGTGTTCGAAATCTGTTCAGTGTTTGAGAAACAAAAGAGAACGCCACATTCTCCAGTCGACGGCGAATCTT